ACCTTAACAACCCTAACGCAAATCTTAAACATAACCAAATCCCTAACCATATGGCTATTTGGTTGAAGGTTAATTAATAATCTGCATTTTTTGTTCTGTGTGGGGGTGTGGAAAGTATTCAGGGGGAGGAGGGGTGCATTGAAAAAATCATCCGGGAGTTGGTTGGAGGTGAGTACAGAGTTAACACTTCTCCCGACTAGGCTTTAATCACGGTGAGTTTATCTGTAGAAGATCTATTATGTTAAATTAGCTTTCATACATAGTGATGGTTTAACATGGATAATTTTCATGTTGTTTAAGTTTTCTCTCAACCTCTCTCTCTCTGTCTCTGTGAGAGAGATTATGCTCTGTCCTGTTTTGTATTCGTTTTGTAATGTATCATCCACGTTGGTATATTGCTGACTAGAGCATAGTCCCGTACAATACAACACTACATAATACAATACGGTGTGTAATACTTAGCTATCTGACGTGCCTTCTACATGCCAAAACTCTCGAGGGTTGAACTTACAACAGCCTATCCCTCCACATTTCCACAGGTGGCAGAGGTGGGTTAGCGTTCCGCCTGCTTCTATTGCATACTGTTTTAAAAAAAGCGTGAAATGGGGCTCGCGAACCCTACTCTCTCTTTCCCAAGGCAGTCCACCAATCCTTCACACCGTTTAATGAAGAACATGGCCTTCACAAAAAAAAACAAAAAAAAAACAACAAAATGCTTGATGCATAACAAAAATAAATATGTCAAATTTATGGGAATATATTTGCTGAAAAAAAATTACCTTCTTAAAGGTGTTATATATTTATTCTAAGTAAAACTTGGACATCCTATTGTGTATAAATCTTCTCATACAGGGTGGGTTGTGGGGGCGGGGAATGGTGAATAGCGATAAGGGATGAGAAGGTATATTCAATTATATAAACTAACATTTCAAAAGGCGGATTGAATGTGACTACCTTATTGCAGTTTGCGTTTTATTTGTTAGTTACTTAAATTAATAGTATTTTAAATCTATACAGTGCAAATAAACAACAACAACAATTTAGTGTGACATTCGTAAATTTCAAAGAACGATTAATGTGCATCTTTTTATTTTACAATACTTTGGACAATAACACTGTTGAGGGGCAAAGAGTGCATGTGTAACAGGTTTCTGTAAATAACGAACAGTGTGGTGTAGATGTGGATGTGCATGAAGTGTAAAATGTGCTGATAACACGCAGTGTGGTGTTGATATAAGTGGTCAGCGGAGTTAACTTCTACAATTTAAGCCATTTGTTACATAGAGTGCATTTTAAATGATGAAATATCTGACAGGGTCCAATCGGCGATTGTTAAAATATCGACTTGCAATCTTGCAATCGTTAAAATACAAAAACAAGTTGCACAACCTCATAAGATCGCGAGGTCTGGTATCAGAATTTTTTGTGTGGATAAACGACAATACAATATTTTTAGAAAGGCAATTGAAAAAAAATAATTGAGAATACAACATTGAGGAATGGATCACAAAGGGTTAAGTAGGGAAATTTGGAATACAATTAGAAGAATACTAAAGATACAATATCATTCATCCAAACTACGGAGTAGAAGAAGAATTTCTGACGGCTTTTCCCATTGTCATTGGCATTGACATTGACATTGACATTGACATTGACATTGACATTGACATTGACATTGACATTGACATTGACATTGACATCCACATCCACATCCACATCCACATCCACATCCACATCCACATCCACATCCATATCCACATCCACATCCACATCCACATTTACATTTACATTCACATTCACATTCACATTCACATTCACATTCACATTCACATTCACATTCACATTCACATTCACATTCACATTCACATCCACATTCACATTTACATTTACATTCACATTCACATTCACATTCACATTCACATTGACATTTAAGACTTTGAATTGGATTTTCATGGTCCACGGACTGTATGTTCAATAACTAATGCAGTGTGACATTCGTAAATTTCAAAGGACGTTTAAAGTGAGCACGATTGTTTTAAAATCTTTTGGACAATAACAATGTTGAGTGGTAAAGATTTCATGGGTAACAGGTGGCTGTGAATAACGGGCAGTGTGGTGTAGATGTGGATGTGCATGAAGTGTAATATGATGCTGATAATGCGCTGTGTGGAGTTGATATAAGTGCTGTGTCCTGTGCTGTTGATGTGGATGTCCCATAGAGCGATGTGGATGTTGATGATATATAAAGCGGTGTAGATTCATGAGAGTAGATTGTGTAGTAGGTGTGTTCTAACATAAAAACACTAGATAAATGGCACCATGAAGGAGATAAACAAGGCTGATAATGGTGACTTTTTCTCTAAACCAAACGCACTCTCTAAACTTAGTTGGAAACAAAATTGTCAATCAAAAAGAATTTTTTTTTCAGAAATAGCATTTTAACAGGAACGGGAAATTTAACTTAAAATGAACACCCAATAAACTCCAACCTTAATCTTGATACTAACGCTTACTTTATAAAACACTTTTCCAGTATTTTTCTACATACATCATTCACTTCTAAAATTAGACAATAAAACTAATAGGTGTTAATAATTCAATAATCTAGATTAAAATGAATTTTTTTTAAAATAGAAATACGTAATAGTTGTATCGATATGACGAACTCTGTTTTAAGATTTCCAAAAGAAACTTTACTTAGAGGACAGGGGAAGAGTTGGGTTCAATTCTGGAAAACAAATCGTGGTATTTATTAGAAACAGGGGAGTTGGCGTTTTTTTAACAATCCCCTTGGGTTAATTGTTATAAAAGATAGTATGGTCTGGGTCTAGTTTGGTCTAGTTCCCAAATTATTTCTCACACCTTTTACATGTACAATGCTATCTCCTGTTTAAAAGTCAGATCAAATATACTCGACTAATCACTTTCTGCAAAAAGTTAGGGGCACTTAAAACTTTTAGGGGATGGGAGGGTAGATGGCAGACATTGGTTGAATTACATATTTTGCATTTAAATTATATTTCGTATATGGGTGGAAGTGCAATACCCTTCCCCTCGAAAAGAAAACGGATAAAACTATGTACAGAACAACATTGAGTCCCCATAGATCTGATGGGTACTTGGTTAAAGTAAAAGAGGCGGGATATAGTGCGGGCACGCTATCCTCTCATATACCTTGTTCATAGAATCAAGTGAACTCAATTTTACCTGGCTCAAATGACCTCCATGTTCAAAAGCGTAATTTTACTTCTTTTTATCCGTAATATAAAAAGCGTAGGCTTACATTACACCATTTAACCCTTTGAGTACCGTGGGACATACTTGTTCAATAAATCTAAAATAACAACAAATAAAATTGAAACAAATTGGAGCTGTTTTTTTTTTCTAAAACAGATTTTAAAGAAACATGTCTGGTTTTAAATAAGTTTCATTTTTTAAATTGATAACATCTTAATTTTACTTCAAATACCAAACGCGATTTTCAAGCTTGAACTTTTAAATCAAATGAAGAGGTGCTACAGAATCAAACTACGGTAGTGGCGATGATGAAAATTACTTTTGAGGAAAATGTTCAAATCCCGGACTCTAGTATTTAATTCTCATATATTTTAAGAAGATTATTAATTTGTTCCTATTTAGTGCGTTATTACATAAACACTTGTTATAAAACTTTATCAGGCATTTTTTCAGTCCTTTAAACACTAGAGTTGCATGACTAAAAATGTTCGTATAATAGTACGGTACATAGTGCTTTATAAAGGAAATTTTAATTAACACTTAAAAAATTAGTTTAGCATCCAATTAAGTCAGATTTGAGGCCTAGTTGCATTGTCATCAGGTCTTGACCCACGTGCGTAGTTTGAAACGAATCGGTCAGTTAGAAATATTACAATTTTGCTCGGAAGTTTCAATCCATGACGAAGCACGACAGACAGATGAAGAAAGCAAGTTAAATAGCAGCTTGTTAAAGATTATTGCTTTTCTTGCGTATGCGATAAAATGAGTTAAAAGTTACGAATTTATACATGACGGTCAATTTATTCTCATAAAAAGATTAGCGATAACTTAATTTCATAATCTGGTTTCATATTCTAGAGGCTATCGGTTCGCTGCCAGTGCACGACCTGTTCTATGACTTTTCAACAAGTTAGAAACGTTAATAACATGAAGTCTAGAAATATATTTGTGGTTAAATGAAAACTTGTGTATTCCAGACACAGAGTTCCCCCCCCCCGAAAAAATTCTACCGCCCCCCCCCCCCCCCCCCCCCCCCGAAAATTTCAAGTGCCCCCCCCCCCCCCCCCCCCGGATAAAAAAGTCTTGAAGAAACACTGTCCAGACAGAAACAGTTGAAACAGCAACTGATCACAATTATGTTTGCTGGCCATCTCGAGTAGACCTACAGGACAATAATAGAAATAGGGCTCATTGTGACATTAACCTATGATCAGAAGTCTTCTTTTAAGCACTATTGGAAGCAGCAAAACAATCGTGAACGGAAGAAAACAATGAGTTCATTGTACACAGAAGCAAAGGGAAAAACTGAAGGAAGAAAATATGTGCTGTTCTGATTATATGCGATACAAACCTTAGGTTACTGATTATAATAGACCAGACTAAATTACGATCGTAGTGCTTTGTAATTGGCATATTTTGTTTTAGAAACAGTCCACTTGAACAATTAGTTACTACATGTAAAATGTACACAAATCGAATTCATATTACGATTCATGTTGGAAAATTATTTTGCCTCGAAAATATGGATACATGATGCGTGCTGTTTCTTCTCATGATATCAGCTTAACTGTATGTCTTTTTTTTAACTCACGGGGCGTTTTACCTCTAAAATTGTGTATAACTAAGATTTCACAAATTTGCATGCAGTAATTTTAGTCCTTAAAGGGTTAACGCCCGCGGTTTAAATTTTTTATGGTCCAGAAGGTTTTCACGCCTACTCGGGCTCTATATAAGCTAAAGGAAAGTAAAGGAGCGGTACCAGAAGTGTTTTACTCTAGCCAGATTTTGTTGCTTCACACTTCCAAAATGTTCAAACTCGTCTTGGTTTTATCCATCGGTTACATCGCTGAAAGTGAGTAGCTTAATAAAAAATTTTGGTTCAAATAATTTTTTCTTGGAATGATATTTCAACTTGTGACTTTTTTTTTGGAAATTTGAATTCAGCAAACTCGTACATTTCGATAATATAAGAAAGGCCTCCGAAAAATTGGAAAATTTACTTTTTAAGATAACGGTTATAAAAATAATTTTTATGCAATAAAATTCTAAATGCTGCATTTTATTTATTCCCCTGAAAATTCATTCTGCTTACATAAAAATAATTGAATTTACATAAATATTGTATTTGCATTTAGATAAATTAAATTTAGCTGATGTAAAATTATTTAAGGCAAGTAAAATTTACAATGTGTTTTAGAGGTTCTTTTCATAAAACGGAAAATATAAATCTGTAATTTACAAGATTTTACAAAAACATAATGTGCTCGGTTAATGAATAAGTCACTTTGTGATACCTCTTTGAGGCGGTAAACGCGATGTTTATTTCGGGGGTTTTCTAATTAACATTAGGAATCACACGTAGTTTACCTACTAGATTATTAGAACTCGACCAAATGGCGATACCCTCCCATCGATGACAGTATCTGATATCATTCAAGTGTTTTAACCCCATTCAGAAAAATTAGAACAGACTATTTGGTATATAAATTTGTACATTTTTAATTAGTGTGAGATGTGTTTAAAACAGTAGATGGATCTTGAAAAAGTCACTATTTATATTCGAAACTTTTTCTTTCACGTACGCACTTGACCTTAGAAACATTTAATGAATTCGAGTCGAACTCTGTTCTTTGTGTTACCATTCGTTCATTCTACCATCCGACCACACCTTCCCACTCTATTTATAAAACACTGCCTAAAAACATAAATTTATTCACGAGGTACGTTTTTTTATAAACTGCAGATTTTATTGGTTATTTTGTACAAGGAGAATGTATTATTTAGTCCCCTTTTATGTTCTTGATGCATCTTGTATCTTGTCCATTGTGTTCTAGATGAATGTTTTATCTAGTCTAATGTAGTGTAGTAGTTTAATGTTGTATGTAGTCCATAGTTGTGTAGTAGTCTAATGTTTTATCTAGTCTAATGTAGTGTAGTAGTTTAATGTTGTATGTAGTCCATAGTTGTGTAGTCTAATGTTTTATCTAGTCTAATGTAGTGTAGCAGTTTAATGTTGTATGTAGTCCATAGTTGTGTAGTCTAATGTTTTATCTAGTCTAATGTAGTGTAGTAGTTTAATGTTGTATGTAGTCCATAGTTGTGTAGTAGTCTAATGTTTTATCTAGTCTAATGTAGTGTAGTAGTTTAATGTTGTATGTAGTCCATAGTTGTGTAGTCTAATGTTTTATCTAGTCTAATGTAGTGTAGTAGTTTAATGTTGTATGTAGTCCATAGTTGTGTTCTAGATGAATGTTTTATCTAGTCTAATGTAGTGTAGTAGTTTAATGTTGTATGTAGTCCTTAGTTGTGTTCTAGATGAATGTTTTATCTAGTCTAATGTAGTGTAGTAGTTTAATGTTGTATGTAGTCCATAGTTGTGTAGTCTAATGTTTTATCTAGTCTAATGTAGTGTAGTAGTTTAATGTTGTATGTAGTCCATAGTTGTGTAGTCTAATGTTTTATCTAGTCTAATGTAGTGTAGTAGTTTAATGTTGTATGTAGTCCATAGTTGTGTAGTCTAATGTTTTATCTAGTCTAATGTAGTGTAGTAGTTTAATGTTGTATGTAGTCCTTAGTTGTGTTCTAGATGAATGTTTTATCTAGTCTAATGTAGTGTAGTAGTTTAATGTTGTATGTAGTCCATAGTTGTGTAGTCTAATGTTTTATCTAGTCTAATGTAGTGTAGTAGTTTAATGTTGTATGTAGTCCATAGTTGTGTAGTAGTCTAATGTTTTATCTAGTCTAATGTAGTGTAGTAGTTTAATGTTGTATGTAGTCCATAGTTGTGTAGTCTAATGTTTTATCTAGTCTAATGTAGTGTAGTAGTTTAATGTTGTATGTAGTCCTTAGTTGTGTAGTAGTCTAATGTTTTATCTAGTCTAATGTAATGTAGTAGTTTAATGTTGTATGTAGTCCATAGTTGTGTAGTAGTCTAATGTTTTATCTAGTCTAATGTAGTGTAGTAGTTTAATGTTGTATGTAGTCCTTAGTTGTGTAGTAGTCTAATGTTTTATCTAGTCTAATGTAGTGTAGTAGTTTAATGTTGTATGTAGTCCATAGTTGTGTTCTAGATGAATGTTTTATCTAGTCTAATGTAATGTAGTAGTTTAATGTTGTATGTAGTCCATAGTTGTGTAGTCTAATGTTTTATCTAGTCTAATGTAATGTAGTAGTTTAATGTTGTATGTAGTCCATAGTTGTGTAGTCTAATGTTTTATCTAGTCTAATGTAGTGTAGTAGTTTAATGTTGTATGTAGTCCTTAGTTGTGTTCTAGATGAATGTTTTATCTAGTTTAATGTAGTGTAGTAGTTTAATGTTGTATGTAGTCCATAGTTGTGTAGTAGTCTAATGTTTTATCTAGTCTAATGTAGTGTAGTAGTTTAATGTTGTATGTAGTCCATAGTTGTGTAGTAGTCTAATGTTTTATCTAGTCTAATGTAGTGTAGTAGTTTAATGTTGTATGTAGTCCATAGTTGTGTAGTCTAATGTTTTATCTAGTCTAATGTAGTGTAGTAGTTTAATGTTGTATGTAGGCCATAGTTTTGTAGTAGTCTAATGTTTTATCTAGTCTAATGTAATGTAGTAGTTTCATGTTGTATGTAGTCCATAGTTGTGTAGTCTAATGTTTTATCTAGTCTAATGTAGTGTAGTAGTTTAATGTTGTATGTAGTCCTTAGTTGTGTAGTAGTCTAATGTTTTATCTAGTCTAATGTAATGTAGTAGTTTAATGTTGTATGTAGTCCATAGTTGTGTAGTCTAATGTTTTATCTAGTCTAATGTAGTGTAGTAGTTTAATGTTGTATGTAGTCCTTAGTTGTGTTCTAGATGAATGTTTTATCTAGTCTAATGTAGTGTAGTAGTTTAATGTTGTATGTAGTCCATAGTTGTGTAGTAGTCTAATGTTTTATCTAGTCTAATGTAGTGTAGTAGTTTAATGTTGTATGTAGTCCATAGTTGTGTAGTCTAATGTTTTATCTAGTCTAATGTAGTGTAGTAGTTTAATGTTGTATGTAGTCCATAGTTGTGTAGTAGTCTAATGTTTTATCTAGTGTAATGTAGTGTAGTAGTTTAATGTTGTATGTAGTCCATAGTTGTGAAGTCTAATGTTTTATCTAGTCTAATGTAGTGTAGTAGTTTAATGTTGTATGTAGTCCATAGTTGTGTAGTCTAATGTTTTATCTAGTCTAATGTAGTGTAGTAGTTTAATGTTGTATGTAGTCCATAGTTGTGTAGTCTAATGTTTTATCTAGTCTAATGTAGTGTAGTAGTTTAATGTTGTATGTAGTCCATAGTTGTGTAGTAGTCTAATGTTTTATCTAGTCTAATGTAGTGTAGTAGTTTAATGTTGTATGTAGTCCATAGTTGTGTAGTCTAATGTTTTATCTAGTCTAATGTAGTGTAGTAGTTTAATGTTGTATGTAGTCCATAGTTGTGTAGTCTAATGTTTTATCTAGTCTAATGTAGTGTAGTAGTTTAATGTTGTATGTAGTCCATAGTTGTGTAGTAGTCTAATGTTTTATCTAGTCTAATGTAGTGTAGTAGTTTAATGTTGTATGTAGTCCATAGTTGTGTAGTCTAATGTTTTATCTAGTCTAATGTAGTGTAGTAGTTTAATGTTGTATGTAGGCCATAGTTGTGTAGTAGTCTAATGTTTTATCTAGTCTAATGTAATGTAGTAGTTTAATGTTGTATGTAGTCCATAGTTGTGTAGTCTAATGTTTTATCTAGTCTAATGTAGTGTAGTAGTTTAATGTTGTATGTAGTCCATAGTTGTGTAGTAGTCTAATGTTTTATCTAGTCTAATGTAATGTAGTAGTTTAATGTTGTATGTAGTCCATAGTTGTGTAGTCTAATGTTTTATCTAGTCTAATGTAGTGTAGTAGTTTAATGTTGTATGTAGTCCTTAGTTGTGTTCTAGATGAATGTTTTATCTAGTCTAATGTAGTGTAGTAGTTTAATGTTGTATGTAGTCCATAGTTGTGTAGTAGTCTAATGTTTTATCTAGTCTAATGTAATGTAGTAGTTTAATGTTGTATGTAGTCCATAGTTGTGTAGTAGTCTAATGTTTTATCTAGTCTAATGTAGTGTAGTAGTTTAATGTTGTATGTAGTCCATAGTTGTGTAGTAGTCTAATGTTTTATCTAGTCTAATGTAGTGTAGTAGTTTAATGTTGTATGTGGTCCATAGTTGTGTAGTAGTCTAATGTTTTATCTAGTCTAATGTAGTGTAGTAGTTTAATGTTGTATGTAGTCCATAGTTGTGTAGTCTAATGTTTTATCTAGTCTAATGTAGTGTAGTAGTTTAATGTTGTATGTAGGCCATAGTTGTGTAGTAGTCTAATGTTTTATCTAGTCTAATGTAGTGTAGTAGTTTAATGTTGTATGTAGTCCATAGTTGTGTAGTAGTCTAATGTTTTATCTAGTCTAATGTAGTGTAGTAGTTTAATGTTGTATGTAGTCCTTAGTTGTGTAGTAGTCTAATGTTTTATCTAGTCTAATGTAGTGTAGTAGTTTAATGTTGTATGTAGTCCTTAGTTGTGTTCTAGATGAATGTTTTATCTAGTCTAATGTAGTGTAGTAGTTTAATGTTGTATGTAGTCCATAGTTGTGTAGTCTAATGTTTTATCTAGTCTAATGTAGTGTAGTAGTTTAATGTTGTATGTAGTCCATAGTTGTGTAGTAGTCTAATGTTTTATCTAGTCTAATGTAGTGTAGTAGTTTAATGTTGTATGTAGTCCATAGTTGTGTAGTCTAATGTTTTATCTAGTCTAATGTAGTGTAGTAGTTTAATGTTGTATGTAGTCCATAGTTGTGTTCTAGATGAATGTTTTATCTAGTCTAATGTAGTGTAGTAGTTTAATGTTGTATGTAGTCCTTAGTTGTGTTCTAGATGAATGTTTTATCTAGTCTAATGTAGTGTAGTAGTTTAATGTTGTATGTAGTCCATAGTTGTGTAGTCTAATGTTTTATCTAGTCTAATGTAGTGTAGTAGTTTAATGTTGTATGTAGTCCATAGTTGTGTAGTCTAATGTTTTATCTAGTCTAATGTAGTGTAGTAGTTTAATGTTGTATGTAGTCCATAGTTGTGTAGTCTAATGTTTTATCTAGTCTAATGTAGTGTAGTAGTTTAATGTTGTATGTAGTCCTTAGTTGTGTTCTAGATGAATGTTTTATCTAGTCTAATGTAGTGTAGTAGTTTAATGTTGTATGTAGTCCATAGTTGTGTAGTCTAATGTTTTATCTAGTCTAATGTAGTGTAGTAGTTTAATGTTGTATGTAGTCCATAGTTGTGTAGTAGTCTAATGTTTTATCTAGTCTAATGTAGTGTAGTAGTTTAATGTTGTATGTAGTCCATAGTTGTGTAGTCTAATGTTTTATCTAGTCTAATGTAGTGTAGTAGTTTAATGTTGTATGTAGTCCATAGTTGTGTTCTAGATGAATGTTTTATCTAGTCTAATGTAGTGTAGTAGTTTAATGTTGTATGTAGTCCATAGTTGTGTAGTAGTCTAATGTTTTATCTAGTCTAATGTAGTGTAGTAGTTTAATGTTGTATGTAGTCCATAGTTGTGTAGTAGTCTAATGTTTTATCTAGTCTAATGTAGTGTAGTAGTTTAATGTTGTATGTAGTCCATAGTTGTGTAGTAGTCTAATGTTTTATCTAGTCTAATGTAGTGTAGTAGTTTAATGTTGTATGTAGTCCATAGTTGTGTAGTAGTCTAATGTTTTATCTAGTCTAATGTAGTGTAGTAGTTTAATGTTGTATGTAGTCCATAGTTGTATAGTAGTCTAATGTTTTATCTAGTCTAATGTAGTGTAGTAGTTTAATGTTGTATGTAGTCCATAGTTGTGTAGTCTAATGTTTTATCTAGTCGTTTTTGTGTGTCCAAGTATGTGAAGGTAAAGAACAAATTGAAAACTGCAATGAGCTCGAAAAATGTATGGACCCCAATGTTTTTGTGACTCCAGCTAATGTAGAATCACTTTATGATGGTGAAAACTCAGAAGCCCTACAAATGTAAGTAAAAAGTTTTTGTATAACATAAACGGTCATTTTTTACTTCCTCGTTCAAATAGTATAGAGAAAGTAATGTAATCGTGCGAAAAAAGCGAAATAGTGATTTTCAGAGATATAGACATTTTATTATCTCCCTTAGTCAAAAAACACTTTATTTTGCAATCTTGCCTGAATGTCTGTATGTCTGTGTGACGCTAGAAAACACCAAGCTGTAAGCGCGCTCCCTCCTACCACCCCACCCCTACATGGTCTGGTGAGCTGGGGTTCACTCTAAATTTTTACAATCATAGAGCCGGATTTAGTGACGGCCACTAGGGGCAGATAATTTAGTGTGAAACGATTTTAAACTTAGGGGAGGTAACTAAGAGGAGGTTGCTTTCACGGGGGGGGGGGGGGGGGGGGGGGGGTGTGTAGGGTAGGGGTTGGGGAAAGGAGGGTGGGTGTAGTATCGTCCTTAAAGAACTACTGATAGTGTTTTAAAGCAAATATTTTCAGTGGCAGCGTTGGTATTGTCGAATTCACAAATAATGAATTACTGAAAAGAAGAAAAAAAAACAACAACGGGTCGGCTCGTTAGTTTATATTTTAAGAGTTAAACAATTTATCTACTCCCCGTTCCGGTGTAAGGCCTTCCCAGTTACCTTGGCGAAAGAGCGCACCACCCACCAACTTCTTCTTCTTCTTCGTTCTTAATTATTAGTGTTGAAGGGGATCGAGAATTATCTGCCAGTGGGTTTGAACTCGAGACTTTGTTCGAATTTATCAACCATGAGCTTTTTGCCGACTCGACCACGCCTCCAACACAATTAAGCGTTACGTGTCAACTGGTTATGCGCCATTGAGGCCATTGACTCCGATTTGAGCCTGCTTTTCTTTTTGGATTTGCTTCCATAGCCTTTGTCCAACCAAGAACAAACTACAAGGCAGCAGTTATTTAATTTTGGAGTTAGCTCTCCTAGAAGAGTGGCTGTCCCCAGCTAACGAGCCTCATCTGCCCGAGGGTTCGAACTCGAGACTTTTCGGTTTAGCAACCATGAGCTTTACCGACTCGACCACGCCGAACCCTCACCCACCAACGTTATCGTATTTTACTTTTAAACAATAAACAATTTGTTACTTTTTTTAGTTTTAAAAGAATTATCTAATCACCAATCCATTACAAATCCTTGTGATTCTTGGATAATGTTGGTAGAGCTGATTTTAACGTCACTCCCCTTTTAAGGTTTACTCAATCGTCCAACACAATGTAATACAATTGGTTTCTTTTAAAAGTGGTAACATTTATCTACTAACCAGTCCAGTGTAAATCTTTCCGATTTTAGTCGGCGAGAAAGCGCCCCCCTCCCCAATCTAGGAAAAGCTGGAAAGCGATGTTTAGACGGTCACCGTTTCTTAACCGTATATGTTTTATAGTTACACATTCAATGTAGAAAACAATTAAATCAGTATGTAAAGGTTTGTAATGGCAAAATCTTTTCTTTGATTATAATTAAAAACTGCAGCTTAAAATGAGCTTTTAAATTTATTTTGTAGAAATTTTCGAAGTTCGGGGGCAGCCCCCCCCCTTCCCTGTTAGCTACGCTAGTTATGAGCAATCAAATTATTATAAATGAATGTATAAATACAAGTTAACATACATTTTCTAGGAAAGGCAACAAGTTTTACACCTGCTACTATACTTCTATGTATAAATGCTCTGATCCAGTTCGTAATAATTACCTCAAGTCTCAATTAAAGTTGGTCACTTTTCTTAGGGAGAGGAAAAATGGTAAAATACTTTTTTTTCACGTGACATAGGACATAGATTTGTATTCATAAACTTTAGCTCTATCAATGCCTGAACAAAATTGTTTAAAGTATATATTTGTTTTTCAAAATACAGATATCATAGACTTGAGTAAGTGCAAAGACAAAGACAGGATTAAACGGTTGATCGCATTTGTAAGCCTTGATTTCTGGCAAAATCTTATACATTACTCGTTTGAGGTTATTGAAAAGCATATGCCAATGTACATATGGATGGACAAATACTTTTGCAAGTAATTTTGTTGTATATTTTTTTCTAAGAAACTAGACTATCTTATTTTATTGAAAGTAGCTAAAGTTCCGAGTTTGCATTCAAGCTAGTTAAAAATTAATCCGGTAACCCTACAACACTCCTGTGTTATTTCATTATCCTGTGGTTTTATAAAACTTTTACATTGTTCACCACGATAGTTATATTCTTTTCTTTAGACGGTTTACTCAGCTGAAGGTTGCATTGTATTTTAAGTTGATCAATGTCTGCCCCGAAAATGCAGCTGAAGCGCTTAGCTGGTATTGGGGATATTACCATGAAGTGAACTTCGAAGTGTACAGCTGGTGTTACTCCGATTATATCGGAAAACGTGAGTGATGTTAACAAAATTTATTTTTGAACTTGTGTTTGTTATTTGTGTACAAATATACATAACTTTTATCAAAAACAACATTTAAATATTAGGTTTTCTTCACCGTTTTTTAATTTTTTTCTTCATATTATTCATTTTTTATAATTTTACTATAGTTTTTAAATATCATTTTATTCATTCATTATTATTTTTATTGTTTTATTTAGAAACGCCAGCACGCGATCTATACCAACTTGTGCTACACCCACGAGTGAAACCACCTGACCTAAGCGACAAAAATAACATACAACTTCTTGAGGATAAAGCATATGCAAAGTGGGCGTTTAATACCGTAGCCCCCTGGGGTTAGCGTGGTCGAATCGACAATTATACAGAACGAATTAATATTACTTAAGAACGAAGAAGAAGAAGAAAAAAGAAGCCCCCCTGGATTTGAATTTCGATTGAAATTAGTGCATTAAATTTTTGGTGGTTTTTTTCAACTCCTCTTTAAGTAGTATAACGCTAGCCTTTCAGTTCTATTTTTAAAGTTTAAGTAATTTTTTAAATTTCCCTAGTTGCCATCCTCCATAGTGTTATATAAGAATATTCGAGAAAGTTTAGGGTTTATTACGTAAGTATACGTGCCGTCTTAACCTATTCACCCACACACTGAATAGGTTGGACTCTCTCCACGCTTGCCTGGTGCAGGATTTTCCAATTCTTTGAACCCTTGCTGGTGTATTGTTAAAAAAAATGTAAGCAACAACTAACATTAGTAACTCTGGAATAAAGACACGTCGACAACATATACAGTTTATTTTTTTTCCAAACGTTATCAATGTAAAATAAGATTTATTAATGTTTGGGTCTGGGCCTTTTTAAGATTTATTAATGTTTGCCACTCCTTTCCCACTTATCGCGTCGTCTGGCGGCATAGTAGTTTTCCCACTGGATAATATCTGATCTGTATTGTTTTGTTTAATGCATCATTCGTTTGTAAAATGCTTCTATCATTCTGCAATAAAAATAATTTTTGCTTTCCTTGAAAATGGAGTGTATTTTAATTATTTTTAAGAGTATGACATGAAAAACAAACGAGGCAGACATCTATGCATCACATTACTTTACTAATTCTTTAAATATAAATTATGATACAAACTTCATTTGTTTAAAATTACAACTTCAGATTACGTTAGCTAATGTGGCAACTATGTTCTATCGAGTCCGACAACGTTATGAGTAGCCGCAGCTGCAGAATTGCTTTGTCAAGGACCCATCTAGGATATGTCTCGCTGGACAAGAGGTCCCTTTACAAACTGTTTTATTTATGGTATAGCTGACTTTACGTCATTTAACAACATAAATAGAATCGTTTATAACAGGCTTTAATGGTTTACAAGAGGCATGAATAGCAAAAATGAGTACAATGAAAACAGTGGCACTAAAAAAGAATGAAAGCAGAGATGATGAGCGACTGTGCACATTGTTCCACTCACGGACCTCTGTATTAGTTTTAATTATAATTAGTTTTAATTAATTTAGTTATAACAAACAACTCAAAGTGCTAAGTGTGAGTTATAGGCGCCGGTTTAGCAAAGGGGTTGAAATTTCGGACTAGAAAATTGATATTGGTCTCTATTATATAGTTCTAGGTTTAACGTCTACACGTAGGAAAAATGTCTTTGTAGTAGATAAAGGCGACTTTAATCCCCTAATAGGGTCGGCGTGGTCGAGTCGGTAAAGCTCATGGTTGCTAAACCGAAAAAGTCTCGAGATCGAACCCTCGGGCAGATGAGGCTCGTTAGCTGGGGACAGCCACTCTTCTAGGAGAGACAACTCCAAAATTAAACAACTGCTGCCTTGTAGTTTGTTCTTGGTTGGACAAAGGCTATGGAAGCAAATCCAAAAAGAAAAGCAGGCTGAAATCGTAGTCAATGGCCTCAATGGCGCATAACCAGTTGACACGTAACACTCAATTGTGTTGGAGGCGTGGTCGAGTCGGCAAAAAGCTCATGGTTGATAAATTCGAAAACAAAGTCTCGAGTTCAAACCCTCTGGCAGATAAGGCTCGATCCCTTCCAACACTAAAAGTTAAGAACGAGGAAGAAGAAGTCTTTTGCTCAGAGATTCACCAGTACGTTGGTGTAGCTGCATTTCTACATTTTGTTGTATCCTTCTTCTTGAACTTACATAAGACAATAACGTGGTCTAAGGAAGGTAACTGTATTTTTTATGAGCAGGAATACAGCAATCAAGGAAAGGTACGCAATTATAGTTTTAGTTTTACTTAATAAATAAAAATAGACAATTAAAAGTTATATCGACTTCTTTGATCCCCTCCCTCCCTCTTTATGCTTATAGGACATACACACACAACTGCGGTCACTCCGTAGTAAAATTTTGCCAATGATTGAATGATTCCCCACTTTTTTTTCAAGACCGTCTTTTCAAGCTCCCTAAATGGCCGGCCCCAAAAACATGTTTTTGTTCCAAGCATTTGCTTGCAAATAAAAAGATATTTTATGTATAGATTTATTCATCCAGTTCTCCGGATCCCTGAAAGGAACTTGCCCTATCCTCTTCCCTACTCGCCCATACCCAACCCACTCCTCATAACCGTCCTCCCGGCTTATTGATTTTATTCATCTACGACTGATAGAATTTGATAATACTCTCTACCTCATATCTTAGCTTTGTGTATAACAATGTTACCCAGTCACGATTTAATTGTATAAATATAATGCCAATTCTCATCTCAAATGTATGACTGACTTAAACATGAACCAATACATAGTGGTAATATGCGAACAAGTTATTACTTCAGAAATCCGTTTAAGACCTTCCCTTTTATTCTGTGTGTTGAATCTTTCTAACCAGGATTAGCGATTTGCTGATTTGCGCGCTATGCGATTACAGTGAGACAAATTATTAAGCATCCCGTTTGTACAAATCAATAAAATGTATATGGGCTGATTCCATTTTGTTTCATATCCAGCTAAACCAACAAACTTATCAGGTTCACATCTGAACTAAAATTTACTGTTATTCTGGGTGTGGAATGCATGTAACAGATTTTGTGTTGTGTTCTTAATTAAATTCCTGTCCTTTGTGAAGTATATCTTCATGGATTTGAAAATAGCACATATTCTCATAAACACACTCACACACTGAGAAAACTTAAACATAAAATATTATCCATGTTGAACCATCACAATGTATAAAAACTAATTTAACATAATAGATATGTGCCTATACCTAGCCTAGTCTAGCCTAGCCTAGCCTTTCCTTTCCTTTCCTTTCCTTGCCATTCCTTGCCATTGCCATTAAGGATACGTGTCAACTGGTTATGCGTAATTGAGGCCATTGACTCCGATTTCAGCCTGCTTTGTCTTTTTGGATTTGCTTCCATAGTCTTTGTCCAACCAAGAACAAACTACTGAAGAGTGGCTATCTCGAACTCGAGACTTTTTGGTTTAGCAACCATGAGCTTTACCGACTCGACCACGCCGGCCCCTGAGCAAAAGACAAAACAGCTTTTGTCATTCTTGTTGGAGAAATATTAATTATACAAATTGCGATACATACAGGAATTAAGGGGAGAGAATCAGAGAAGGTAAAACAATATACCGCAACCCCAAACCGTACAACACCATAAACCACAATTCAAACCCAACCACCTAACCACCAGTCCCACACCCCTAACACAGCCAGCTAAAGCGCAATACATCCCACGTGAAAGGTATGACAAGTTTTGTTTTTCTTTGTTCCGTGTGGTATCTAAATGAGTAAATATTTGTTTATTACCCGTATTTGAAAAGACTCTTTAATATCAGTCACAATCTATTAGAGATTACCTCTACATTTGTACAATACAAGGGTGGCCTTATTGCGAGCTCATTCTACACATGTAATAATCTGACTCGAAACAGAAAGAATTTAATCAAAAACTGTAAATCTGTAGAATATTTATGTGTTTCATATTATTTGCTGGGATATGAATATGCAATACAAATAACCTTTTCAAATAATGCTCTTGTAATATAAAGTTAATCGCCCTTTTCGGACCGGACACTCCATGGGTCTAGTGAAGTAGAGTTCAACTGTTTCTGTGACCTCTGCATATGAAGGGATAGTGTGGTCATATTATACCCAGCTGACTTTACTTTCGCTAAACGTGGATCACACATTACAAAACGAATGCAAAACAGGAAAGAGCATAATCCCATCCAACACAATACTACATAACACAATACGGTTGTGTAAAACTGAGCAATCTTACGGGCTCTCTACATGTCAAAACTCTCGAGGTTTTAACTTACTACAAACAGCATACTCCACTACACTCGGCGTTGAAATATCACTTTCTGTTTACATTGCTATTCCACTACGCTCCCAAATTTCGAGGATTTAACACTGTTCCTCTTCATCGCCCCGTCACTTTTAACTCACCCCTTTACCCCAAAAGTCTTACATAAGCAAAAAAATGCACGCTTAAGACATTTTGAATGTGGATAAGATGAAAGATCCACCAAATGTGTGGGTGGGGTAAAAGAAGAACCAGTTGTGAGGTTGCAAGTTGAAGAAAGGTGCATTTCTATCTATATATACTATGTGATGCTCCGTCAAGAACATACAGAATATATTATACTTTCTACGGGGATCGGCTCTTCTTATATGCCTGGTACAGTTTAGTAAAATCAACACACGAGTCCGATTAAAATGTTCTATCTATAATTTTTTTTTATTCAACTCTAATCAATCTCCCACTCCTAAACTAACTCCATGCTATCACATAACTATCTGCTAACGCTATCTAACTACACACTCCCATTATCATCCCATACACGATATCTTACTCTAACTCTCTACATATCTCTGTCCGTTCTCTACAGTGGTCAGCTTCAGTGATCAGCTGTCTCTTGTGATTGGTCATCTCCTGTAATTCTTTTGGTTTACCTAACTACGCTATACTCTGTTTCTGCTAACTTCTGTTTGACCTATCTGACGTAAACTTGCGTCATTAAGGACATTTTACTTTCGCTTGTTATATAATACGACACTACCCGTCATACCTTAGATAACTGTGGGTTTCGGGGGTCATCCATACATGACATCACGTATGTCGCTTATGGTCAAAAAAAAAAAAAGATACCACATTCAAAAAGACGTCACACCTCAGACGTTTTTGTGTTCTAAAAATACCTATTTCGCCTGAGCATGGGTCTGACCACACTATCCCTTCATATGCTGAGGTCACAAAAACGGGTCAACTCTACTTGACCTGCCCAGTCTCAGACAACATGTTTTTATCGTTTAAAAAACAATTCCGGTCGAGCATGGCTCTGATTACACTATCCCTTCATATGCTAAGGACACATAAACAGGTGAACTCTACTTTAACTGCCCCGTATACCACCAAGTCTCTAAAGTCAACTTTGTCATTAACTTCGAAAACATCTATTTTTTTTTCTATAAGATGTTCTAAGCTCGAACTTTATTGAAATAATAAATGAATTATTTATTAAAGCTAACTTTAAACTAATAATAATGAATTAGATCTAATCGCTTGTGTTGTGATTTCCTAATGTGGAATATCTATGAGTGAACATTTTTAAAATTAAAATTTAACATAGCGCGATGTGTTTCGAACCGGTACCACATACTGGTGACTATTACACTATCATATGTATGAAAGGTGTGTACTAGGGACGGATAACTGTGTGTGTATACGGTAGTATTGTACGAGGTCGGATGTGTTGACGTGTGTGTTGTACGGAGTGAAAGACAGTACCAAGGGAAGCGACTGGTCGAGTGACAGCTGGTGTGTTGCAAGCGAGAGGAAGGAGCAGAGGCGTATCCAAGTTTTCGTTGTAGGGGGAGCGAAAAGAGCAAAAAAAGGCGCCGAATATTTAACACGTTCTATATACGTGTATTATATATATATATATAGGGCCTATATATATTATATATATATATATATATATATATATATATATATATACATATATATATATATATATATATATATATATATATATATTAT